AAGCTTGGAGAAGAATGTGCTGGGGTTCTGACTGGCGACTGGGACTTGGTAGGCAGTCAGCTGTTTTGGGATGGTTAGGTAAGGCAAGGGAGAGAGATGATTCCGTACCCGAGGGGAAGAAGAAGAAAGTGGAGTTACCAGAACTGGGCTCCTACTTGGCCCAGCTCCCCAGGGAGCCATGTGACTGGTTGCCGGCGCATGAGCCAGTTTAGGGGGGGCACTCACCTGTCCCCTCCTTCGGTGGGGGGGAGGGAACCCCCTTTTAGCCCCCAGAAAATAGTGCGGCACCGGCCAGCCCTTCTGCACATGCGCACAGTTTAAAAAGGGCCCGGCAATGGTACAAACTGCATTTGGGACCCGGCTCTGGCGCGAGATGTGCAGATGTATGCTGGCCACATTGGAGTGACCTGTGAGCAGCTCATCTGGGGGGTGTGGCTCCTTCTGCTGCATGCATCCTGGGAGGTATGGGGGGGTGCGTGCCCCTAATGTGCACAGGGCAGGGTGGGCTGCCACTGTGGACTGGAGCTGAGGCTGCACGAGGCTCTTCCCGGTTTCAGGGGGGTGGGGAAGGGAGCTGTGCTATGCTTGGGGCAGGTGGCAGTGGTGATGGGAGGTGGCAATGGGTGCTGCTGGCATAGATTCCCCAAGATTCTCCATAGTCCATCAAATCCCCCTCCCAGCACCACTGCAGCCTGCCCCCAGCATAGCCTGCCCCGCCTCCCCCCTCCCATCATGCAGCCCCAAACTGGATTTATTTAGTTTAGAGAAGAGAACACTGAGAGGGAATTTCATAGCAGCCTTCAACTGCCTGCAGGGAGGTTGCAAAGAGGATGGAGCTGAACTGTTCTCAGTGGTGGCAGATGACAGAACAAGGAGCAATGGGCTCAAGCTGCAGCAAAGGAAGTTTAAGTTAGATATTAGGAAGAATTTTCTTACCAGGAGGGGACTAAAACACTGGAACAGGTTATCCAGAGAAGTGGTTGAATATCTATCCATGAAGGATTTTAAGCCTGGGTTTGGCAAAACCTTGGCTAAGGTGATCTAGTTGGGGTTGGTCCTACGTTGAGCAGGGTGTTGGATTAGATGTGAACTCCTAAGGTCCCTTCCAACCCTAACTTTCTATGATTCTATGAATCTATGACCTGAGACCCCTTTCAGGTTGACCGCTCAATGACTCTATGGCAACTTGGTCTAGCACCCCCTTGTGGCCATGACTCCAAGGACCTCTCAACACCCCCACCTTTAATGAACAGGGCTTTTGAAACACTGGATCTTCCTTCATGCAATGTCCCCACAAAGTTATCACCACCAGCCGGACACTTGGGTTCTAGCCCAGCTCTGAGAGGAGACTGGGGTCTGGCGGGTGAGTTGGAGTGGCACATCCCACTGTGAAAGGGATAACGCCATCCCGGACATCTATAGGCTTGGTCAAATGAGTCATTTTGCACTCTTTTTAGCAATTTCCCATCTCCTGCTCTCCAGGGCTCTGTACTTCCCTCGCCTGCACACTCAGCTAAGACTAGAGATTAGATGCAATGCATGTTTGTGCATGTTTTGAGATGCACAAAATATGGTCACCCTGCTTAAACCTGATAAATCTGGGAGTCTGGATCCCTGGGTTCATGAGACTGGGGAAATGTCATAAGCCCAGTTAGAGATAATAAAGCTGGAACCCAGACTTCTGGTTTCTTGGAACTGGGGAAGTGTGGTCACCCACATCAAAGCTCATAAAGCTGGGAGCCTGGACTCATGGGTTCACAGAACTAGGGAAATGTTGTTACTTTAGTTGGAGCAGCTAAAGCTAGGAGCCTGGACTCCGGGCTCTATTACCAATATATCAATTATACGTTCTTGAATCCTTATAATTAACAATGGTAGTAACAGATTTCAGTGAGCTTCTCCCATAATGCCCACAAAACTATAGAATCATAGGACACAAGAGTTGGAAGGGACCTCAGGAGGTCACTTCTAGTGCAACCCCCTGCTCAAATCAGAACCAACCCCAACTAGATCATCCCAGACAAAGCGTTGTCCAGCCGGGTCTTCAAAACCTCTGAGGATGGAGGTTCCACCACCTCTTTAGGGTTTCTGCTCCAATGTTTTACTGCCTTTCTAGTGAGAAAGTTCTTCCTAATATCTAACCTCAACTTCCCTTGCTGCAGCTTGAGCCCATTGCTCCTTGTTCTGTCATCTGCCTCCACTAAGGACAGTCCGGCTCCATCCTCTTTGAAGCCACCCTTCAGGGAGTTGAAGGCTGCTATTCAGTGCCCCCTCGATCTTTTCTTCTTCCTGTCCCACTCTTAGGCTAAATATTGAGCAGCTGCTTTTTATTAAACCTTCCTCATTCTCCCCTCCACCCCAGTTTCATCAGCTCTTTCATCAACAAGTGGCTGTTGGACTTGCCCTTTTCATGCTGGGATTGTCAGGCAGCGTGGCCAGGCCTCTAAACGCTGTGTGTGCAGGGGCCCAGTGAAGGTGTGTGGTAGACCTGGGAGGAAGCTGGGAGCTCAGCATTGGGGGCAAAACTTTTCTGAGAAGCAGGAAGAAAATCATAGTTTCCCTTGCTGCAGTCTCAGCTTCTTGCTCCTTGCGTGGTCTCTTGAAGCCACAGAGAAACATCCATCCTCATCCTCCATGGATTACCACTCTCTCCCCTTCAGAGACTGGAAGGCTGGGATCAAATCCCCACTTTCATTTTCTTTTCTCCAGACTCCATCATCCCACTTCTTCCAGCTTGTCCTCCTGGGCCCGGTCTCTCAGACTTATCCTTGGCTCTGCTGCTCTCTGAGATCTTTCTAATCTGCCCACGTCACTCGTAGCTCATGTGAATGCAGAGCAGCTGACTTCACCCATCCCCCACCTATGAAGGGGCTGAGTGCAGATCCAGCCAGCCCTGGTATATGAGCAGTGGGGCAGGGCTGTGGCCACAGAGCAGAGAGAAAACAGGAGCAGAGACCATATCCTTCATCCCTGCCACCCACAGCAGAGCCCAGCTGTGAGCCGTGCAGGATCAAGTGGTAAGTGGCTTGGCTCTACTCTGTGCCTGATCCCCAGGGGCTGCTCTGGGGACAGAACCCAGGTGTCCTGGCTGCTGTTCCTCATTTGCTCCAACCTACTAGACCCTACTTCCTTCCCACCCCTGTGATGGAACCCAGCTGTCCTGACTCCCAGTGAACCCCCAAACCAGGAGAGTGTGTGAGTGTCTCAGATGGAGGGGGCTGACCTTAGACAAGATCCCACCCTCTCTCTGTGCCTCCATTTCCCCAGCTGTGAAAGGGGTCTCCTGCTACTCACCTCCTCTGAGATCTGGGTATGACCAGCCTTTGATGGGGGGAGGGAATAAAAATCCCACTGGATTTCTCCCCATTCCCTAAAGTCCTTCTTGACCTATTGATCTCCTGGCCCCAGAAAACCCCCAAGCATCCCCCAGTGGCTGCTCCTGGCCTCTGATTTCCTCTCACCCCCTTCCTATAGGTCCAGTCTCTCCCTTCTTCTCCATCTTGAGGGTTCACTGCACCTGAGATCCCCAGTGCCGACCCCGTGGCTGTCACGATGAAGGCTCTCTTAGCTCTCCTCTTCCTTCTTGCCTCTCTCCTGACTGCAGGTGAGTCTTGGGCTTTCCCCTGGAGGTGCCCTTGTCTCTGCCCACCTGAGAACCCAGCCCAGGGTCTTTTGTTTGAGCAACACATTGTAACCTTCCAACAAGGGGTATGGCTGTATGCAGAGGGGTGTGGAGAAATCACGGGTGCCTGTACAAACAAAGGAGTGAGCAAGGGCTGGAAACAGCAACAGTGAAGTAATGGAACCACCATAGCTGGAGCTGAGAGAACCCAGCTCTTGGTGAAGAAACTCCAAGAGCCCTTCAAATTACTCAGAGGGGTTGCGATATCCCAGGAGTCTGGGCTACATGGAAGTGCAAGCTAGAAGGGGGCACTAGACCAAGCTATTGTACTGTCTGTAGGTGATGAGATGTTGCATCTTTACCCAATACTCAATGCCTGAAGAATTTGGGAATTGGGAGATGGTCCCTCAGGGGTGTTGGTTACAGAAAGACCAAGGGTGTGCAGAGGTCACCTATTGCTCTACAATTAAAGTTGATTGTTTAGTTCTTCTCATTCATTGTAAGCCTGTGTTGAGTGAGCCCAGTGATGATCACTACATTTCTCCATTCAAAGAGGCTCCTTTTACTCCATGCACAGAAGCCAGGAAACATCCACAAGGCATCAGCAATACCTGGGGGGGTGGGAACCAGGGTGTTCCAACAAGGCCAAGTCCCCACAACTAGTGTAAATGCACTATTGTTCCATGAGGGGGATGGGGCAAAGGCCTCCCTGGGGTGCATAAGGTGTGGCTGCTGCATTGGGGTGAATCTAATCCATCTCTGTTGGACCAAGACCCTGGCAGTTGTCAGTGGCTCTGGCAAGGTCAACTCATCCCAGCAAAAAGGACCTGCTCTGGGGGTTACACAGCCACAAGAATCATGGAGCAGGAGCGATGCTGGCCCTGTGGCTTCCAAGACTGGGAGAAGCCAGAGTGTGATGGAACATTTTCCCCTCCCCTCCCCAGGGTCCGGCCTCCAGTGCGAGCAGTGCTTTGCTCAAGATGAGACCTGCACGGGACAGATGATGAACTGCAGCATCGGAGAGAACACCTGCATGATCATTGAGACACAAAACCTAATAGGTAGGTGTAGTGGGCTGGGGTTTTGGTATCCAAGCTAGACACCTGGGTTCTCTTTCCAGTTAGGGAGGGGAGTGGGGTCCACTGGGTTATACAGGGTAGCTGTTGAGCACTGGGCTGCCGGGGTTCTGTCCTCAGGTCTAGGAGGGTAGTGGGTGTCTAGTAGGTAGGAGCTGGCAGGACTCCTGGATTCTTTTTCCAGCTCTGAGAGAGAAGTTGGGTGGGAGAGGGGGTTAATGGGTTGGAGTAGAAGGAGCTGATAGGACTCCTGAGTTTTATCCCTAGGTGTGGAAAAAGAATGGATTTTAGTGGTGGGGGATGGAGCTGGGAACAAGGGCTCCTGGGTTCTACACTGTGGCTTGAGGCCAGCATTAGTCCTGAGTACTCCTCTGCAGATCATTTTCCCTAAACAAGGGTGAGAATTCTGCTGTGAGGGACACAGAGATGGGGTATAAATACCCCTTGGACCCACTCCTGGCTTCTTCCTCCCAGATGGTGTGAAGACCATGAGTGTCACTAAGACCTGTGGGGTCTCCAGCAGCTGCAATCAACCTCCCACTCTCCAGAACTTCGGGAAAGCCTTGAGCGTCATGTCCTCCATCCACTGCTGCATGGGAGATGCCTGCAAAAACGCCTCGGCTCCATGTGCGTGGCTGTGATTGCTCCCTTTCCTCCCTCCTTCCCTCTACCTAGAGCAGGATCCTTGCAACAGGCCTCCAGGGGGCACCGTTCTGGGTCTGTGGGTCTATACCCCCATTGGAGGCCAGTGGGGAATAGTCGTCCAGTCCTGAAGGGGTGCCCCACTGAATAGTGGTGGGTCCCTGCTACAGTCTTACAGGGAAAGCCCCACTGGGTACTACTGGGTATCTGGAGATGGTTCTCCAGCCCTGCTGGGGGCACCCCCATTGGATAACACTGGACCTGTAGGATAGTCTGCCAGTCCTGTTGGGGGCACCCCATTGGATAACACTAGGTCCCTGGGAAAGTCTTGTAGGGGGCACCCCATTAGATACCACTGGGTCCCTGGATAGTCTTCCAGCCTTGTAGGGGGCGCCCCGTTGGATACCACTGGCTTCAACAGGCGGGTAGGATTATGGGCAACATTCAGGACTCCCCACTGCCAACCTCTCTGGTTCACCCCTCCCTTGGTGTGCCTGGAGCTACATCACCCACTTTGGAGGGGGTCTGCATTGTCCACCCACCCATGACCTCTCTAGAAGGTCCCCCAAGGTGACCATTTATGTTCTGCTGGTTCCAGTTCCTAAGAAAGACACCACTCCAAATGGGATGTCGTGCCCTGCCTGCTACGCCATAGACTCACCCCTGTGTCCTAAGGAGTCAGTGAATTGCACTGGGCCAGAAACCAAGTGCCTGGACCTCGCCCAGCAAATCACATCTGGTAATTTCTAAGGGTTCCTTTCCTTTCCCACTCCATCCTCAGGCCTGGGTGAGACAGGGGCTTTGTCTGGGTGGCAGGAAGCACAAGTGGTCACCAAGTAGCCCTTCCATCAAAGAGTTGCTGGTCCCAAAAAGGACCTGGGGGGAAGAGTGGGGCAATTGAGGCACAGAGCGATGAAGGGAGTTGTCCCAGGCCACCTTGGGAGGCAGTAGCAGAGCTGGGAAGGGAACCCATGCTCCCTGGTGGTGCCACAATGAACCATAGGGTGAGGGGTCCAGGAGATCCCACAGCTATCACAAACTGTGAGTGAATCTTTGGCTGCCTGGAGGTGTCAGACCTATTCTGGAGCCCAGTGAGGGCTCAGGACGGGATCCAAGGGACTTCCCCAGGGAGACACATCATGTGGGAATGAAGGAGCAGTGGGGAGGCCAGGTGGGTTGGGAGGAGAGGTGCGGGGAGAAGAGGAAGGTGTTGTGTGTGGATGAACTGAGGGCGTGGAGTGATAGGGATGGGACATGCACAGAAAGGAGGTTCCCAGCCTCTCCTGACCCTGCCCCTCTATCTTCCCCTGCACCAGCTAGTGGCAAGATTCAGGTCATCATGAAGGGCTGTGTCACCCCGAACGTCTGCACCGATTTGCAAACAGGCTCCAGGACCAATCAGGGCACCACCATCGACATCACCAAGGTGGCCTGCACATCTGGGGGGGCCCCGGGACTCTCTGGGCTTCTCCCAGCCCTGGCTGGGCTGCTGATGCTGAAGCTCCTTCCATGATCCCTGCCCCAAATGACACGGCATGGAGCTCCTTGTCCATACCCAGTCTTTACCTACCCTGCAGCCCCCAGCCCTGCCTGGCTCCAGGGCTCCATGCAGTTTTGCTTTCCCCATGGATTTGTCCCAGCAAATAAAATAAGCTGTGAGATGCATGTTATGACCCCCCTGGCTTTTATTTGCACTGGGAGAATGTGTATTTCCATGTGGGGGGAGTGAATTTCAGCAGGGGGCACATGGGAAGGAAACAAGATGTTTGGAGACTCCTGGTGATGGAAATCGGCAACACCAGCTGGGATCTCCAGACCCCAGGAGACCCCAAGGACATGTCTATGCCCCCATGGAAGAAATCTCCCATTAGAGTCATCCCTGTTGAGTCTGGGCTTGTCTCCAGCTGGCAGTGCCCCCTGTAGGTGGAGGGCCGAAATTCCAGGTCATAATAGCTTGGTGATTGGTCCAAATTGGAGAGAGCAGGTTTGAAATGGCAGAGGGTGTGGAAGGTCTCAAGTGAGTCCTGAAGCTCTGGAGAATGTGACTGAGGGTCAAACTATGCCTAGGGGCCTTGCTGCAGGTCGGGCTGTGATGGTGGAGCCACCAAGACATTATGGACCATGTCTCCATGGTACAAGGAAGTCCTGCTTTCTCTATAAGGACCAGAAGAACCCTAGCATTGCAGTGTCTCTCAAAGCCCCTCTCCCCAACCCCCTGCCCCCATCCTCCACCCCAAATATCTGCTTCCCCTGGACACCTGAAAAAGAAGTCTCTACAGCTTCTCTCCACAGCTTCCCCCTACAAGCTGTCCTCCTCGTTTGACCCTGAGGTTCCTTGAGGTCCCCTTCCCAGAGCTTGGATCTCCATCTACTCCCCTGCTGTTGTCACCCATGATCAACAGCCCTGCCTTCAGAAAGAGTCATTCCTGCCTTTCTTTATGGCAGCCCTTCAGGGATATGGCAACTGGAACTGGGATAAAACCTAGATGTCCTTATTGGGAACAAAATATCACCATTTAGGTATTCTACAAATCAGGCCACCTTCACTAAAGACAGAAGTGTTGGAAAGTCCTCAGAACTGCAGGTTCATGGAGGTGTCGGCCACAAAGGGGCACTAGACCAAGCTACTGTAGAGTCATAGAAGAATAGGGATAGAAGGAGCCTCAGAAGCCCCGACCTCCTGCTCCTGGCTGTGTCTGACCCCCGGACCCCTCAGAAGTGGTGTTTCCTCATCCAGCTGCTTTCCTTCATGCTGGCTCTTGGCACTCAACAACCTGCCATAGGAAAATCCCTGGGTGCGGCCAGATCAAGCAAATGTGCAAATTTATTAAGAAGATTAATGACTCTCTATTGTTTGGCACTGCAGCTGGGCTCTGGGCTGGAGGCTGGGCAGTGCTTGTGTCGGTAAATTCTTCTGAAGCTCAAGGCTGGCCATGTCTGGGCTCTCCCAGCTCAATGCCAGCTTGTCACGTATGTGGCTGTGGCTACAGGAATGGAGTTGGCATTGACCTACAGGCAGAGGCCTGGTATGAAGGGTCCTGCTCGCTATGCTTTAATAGGAACACTGAGCTGACTGTTTGGGTGGTAGAAACACTGCAAATGCAGGCCTGCCTAGGTGATGCTGGGAAAAGAGAAGGGTCTGGGAGCTTAGATCAGGGGTCTGGTGGCCTGGATGCCTTGGTTAGACCCAGATACCTGGGTTCTCTCCTAGCTCTCCAAGGGGAGTGTGGTGTCCTGTTTAACCTGAGATTAGAGTCACTGCAGCCCAGGTACCTACAGCCCAAGCCCCATGGTCCAGAGAGTCCTCGCAGTCCCTCTACTTCCGGTCATGTGGCCCCTGCTAACTGGGATAAAACAGAGCCCACAGCACAGGGCAGGGAGCCAGATCCTGCTCTACCTACGTGGACTCAGGCACCTAAACTCAGCTCTATCGCACCCTCCTGGAATCCCATGAGCCTATCAACAGCTGGGCGGGTCCCTTCTCCTTATGGCTTGTCAGTGGCCCAATTGTATGGCCAAGACATTACACAAGCAGGATTGTGCTTACATCTACTCTGGCACTGCCTCAGTGGATCAAAATTTGGTCCCTGCCCTCCATCCTGGATCTGAATTCTGGAAGGTTCCCCTGAAGGGGAACAAAGCTATGGTTGGTGGAAGCATTGGTCACCCCCCTCCCCCTTCCACAGCTTGGATAGAACCCAAGTGTCCTGGCTCCCTGCTCAACCCTACTGGATCCCACTCATAGCTCAGAGCTGGGATAGAACCCAGTGTCTTGGTGCCCAGATCCATCCCACTGGACCCTACTCTGTTCCCAGAGCTGAGATACAGCCCAGGTGTTCTGGCTCCCAGATAAATCCCACTAGACCTCACCATGCTTCCAAAGTCAGAACAGGACCCAGCTGTCCTGGCTCCCAACTCAACCCTACTGGACCCCACTCACCTTTCACAGCTGAGATAGGACCCAGGTGTCCTGGCTTCTAGCTCTAGCCCACTGGACTCCACTCTGCTCCCAGACCTGGGATAGAAACCAGGCATCCTGTTGGTGAAGAGAGCACTGTAGAACATGGCCAGAATCAGGCCACAGCCTTCAAAGAGCCTTATTCACTCAAGGCAGAGGTGTTGAAAGGCCCTTGGAATCAGCTTCATGGAAATCTAGGCCACAAGGGGGCACTAGACCAAGCTACCATAGACTCTTAAAAGAATATGGCTAGACGGGCTCTCAGGAGGTCATCTGTAGCCCCACCCCATTCTTTAGACAGTGTGTGACCTCCCTGGGACACTGCAGATGTGACGTTTCACCCCTGTGATCCATGTCAGTCCTCAATGCAAGTTGTAGACCCAGTTTTCCAGGGCTCTGGCACACCCAACCCCCAAGGGCGTTGCATGGGTGGATCATCTTGAGATGACACAAGCCCAGATGAGGCACTACTGTGGGAGGCTGACCCCGCCCTGTTCTCTGAAGGTTTGGGAGCACCGGATGCTGGTCTAGGAAATCAGGAGTCCCCAGCGGACATCACAGCTTTTGCCCAAGCCCTCTATAAAAGGAGGAGCGCACACACCCTTTGAGCCTTCTCTGAATCACCTGTGTTCTCCCAGCCAGCACAGATCCTGCTAGGAGCTTGTTAGGAGCAGCTGGTAAGTGATTTTTCCCTCTGGTCTCTGGGACTCCAAACTGCCTTTCCAGATCAAGGCAAAGAACCCAGGAGTCCTGGCTCCCAAGCCACTAGACCCCATTCCTTTCCCAGAGATGGTGAGAGAACCCAGGTGTCCTGGCTTCCAGCCTCTTCTCTTTTTCTAATCCACCAGACCCCATGCCCTAGCTAGACCCAAAGCCAAAACCCAGGGATCCTAGCTCCTAGCCTCCTTGGGTGAATGCCCAGAGCTAGGATAGAACCCAGGTGTCCTGGGTTCCAGAGTCCCCACCCCTTGCTCTGCACCCACCAAAGTTCATGAGAGCCAATAAGAGAACCCAGGCATCTGGGCTCCCAGCCCTCGGCCTTCATTCCCCTCCCACATGTGCAGGAAAAGGCCAAAATGCCCCCTTCCCCATCACTCTGATACCTAATGACCTTTACTTTATTTATGTATTTCTGATATCTAATGGCTTTTACCATATTCATGTGCATACCAACCTCCCCCACAAAAGGCCCACACCTTTCTCAGGGAAGATGGAGTTAAAAAAGAAAAGAAGATTTTTCTCTTTAACTGAACGGCTCATTCAAGACCCATGGCTCAATTTGTGAGCTCGAAGTTTCAGGAAAAAGGAGTGTGTGGTACATGAATAAATATGGTATTACTCTGTTGATCCTTCAGCCTGCATCAATCCCACAGCCAGAGAGTCTACTGCCCCATCCCCTCCTGGCTCCCACAATGAAGGCTCTCATCATCCTCCTTCTCTTCCTTGCTGCTCTCCTGGCTACAGGTAAGGCAGGATGTTTCCCAACCAGGGCTGGGTTTTTCTCCCAAGAGCCCCAACCCTGTCCCAGGCCTGTTGATTCAGGGATGCTATGGGCAAAGCCTGTCACATAGGTGTCATGGTGGAGAGGAGGCATAAGGAAGTGGGCCAGATGTCCCACCAAGAACAGGGCCATGTAGGTTGATGCCAGTGCCAGGGAGGGGTCAAAACCTAAGCAGCACCATGAATGATCTAGAGGGAAGGTATGGGGCCAACATGGGTGTGAATCCCTTGCAGGGGTCAGATTAGCAGCTGGGGGAAATCACTCCTCAGGTGGCAGTGGGGCAAGCCCCGGGGAGCTGTTGGTGCATTGGGATGAAGCCAGAAGCCTAGAACCTGGTGGGTGTCAGTGGTGCTGGGCTGTTCTTCAGGGACCCATTTTAGGGGTTGCAAAGCCCAAGGGAGTTCCTAGCCACAGCCCCTGTCCCTCCAGGCAAGGGTAAGGGGCAGGAGGGGCTCTGGGGGGAGTAGGGCGCTGGGAAGCAGGATGGAACTGCTGAATCCTAAGGGCTGGATCCTGATTGAGGCATTTCTCTTCCCCTCTCCAGGAACCTGCCTGGAGTGTGAGGTGTGCACAGGGTTGACCAAGTTTTGCAAGGGGCCCATGGAGCGCTGTGGCCCTGGAATGGACACTTGCGCTGTTGGGACAATTGAAACCATAATGGGTCAGTGATGTGGAACTTAAACCACAGTGTGTGCAGAGTGGAGAGCCAGGGAGGGAAATAGGGTCTGGGGGGTGCAGCTGGTGGCACTGGGAGCCGGGGCACCTGGGTTCTTTCCCAGCTCTTGGGTGGTACAATAGAGCGGGGGAACTGGAGGCCCAGGTGCCTGGTCTCTCACGAAGGGAGGTGGGGTCTGGTGGGTTCAAACAGCAGGATCTAAGAGTCTGGACACTTGGGTTCTCTTGGAGGGAAGTCGGGGATGGGGCTTAGAGCAAGGGGTTCTGGGAGCCTGCATGCCTGGGTTCTTCTCTTAGGTCTGTGAGGTCTATGGGGGTAGAGCAGAGGGGCCAAGAGCCCAGATACTTGGACTGTATCCCAACTCGGGGAAGGGAGGGGAGGGGAGGGGAGTCTTTAGTGTCAGAGCATGGGGTTCTGGGAGCCTGGATGTCTGGCTTTTCTCCCTGATCTGGGAGGGGGGTAGGGTCTGGTGGGCTACAGCAGGTGGGGCTAGGAGCCTTGACACCTGGGTTCTCTCCA